TATATATTACTATTCTTCCACAATGACCTTCTCAATGACATGGATAGTACTCTTGGAAATTTTTTTTTCTAAAATTTTATTCTCAGGTTTAAAAAATTTTAAGAGAGCAAATATTGCTTTTTAGGAAATTCTTATCTGCACAATTTGAAAGCGTTTTAAAACGTCATCTCTGCATAAACTACTGAACTGAACGATTCAACTATCCAGCACTTGTTTACGATTGACTGATTTTTGTTTTATTTTACGGTTCATCAACCCTTTGCAGGCCATGTAAAGCCAGAAAATATTTTTAGATTGTAAATCATAATGGTTTAGTGATACAAGTCTTACTAAATAACCAATAGATAGGGGTGAGTAGAGGTGTTTTCAAAATCCAGTGTTAATTACAGATATGTAGAGCTATGACCGCGTTCACACCAATCATATATCGTATATTTCTGCGTATAAGGAGATATTTAAACCTGAAAAATTATCCGCCAAAATAGGGGTCGTCTAATAGAACAGTTGCAAGAAGTTAACCTCAAGTCCTGTCGTGTATCGTTACTCGTAAGTAGGTTCATATGCTTGCGCAACAGATAGTGGTAGGCTAACAAATCCCTTACGATGATGACTACCGATGCAAATATTTCCAGTTGAAACGAGTCACGTGATAATACTGTACTACAGTTATAAATGTTACAGAACTAATTTTACTTCTTGATTTCACATTAAAATGCAGTATTCAAGAAACGGTGACACAACAATTTGCAAAAGTTCCGCTAAGCAATACGCACAAGTTAACAAATCTTTGGTTTTTGATATGTAGAGCTGTGAGCGCGTTCACACCAATCATTATTTCTCATAGTAGCGTTAAATAACATTTAGGATAACATACAATCTATGTTTCTAATTATTCATTACCATTGTGGTATTAAGTAGCAATATGTGAACTTTATTTTTTAATAACCTACATTATACAGTATTTTCGTTGCGGTGTTAAGCAACAAAACATTTAAGATGGCATAAAATCTTTTTCTCTCATTACAGAATACGTCCATTTTGTTTTCATTCGTACGAACCGGAAGAATGGAGTCACTATTGTTATTTTCATGCGATTCATAATAACAAATTTATATTATTTTATTCCTTTTGATTTGATAAAGATAAAAGTAAGGAAAACAGCATTTGTAATGACATCAGCTTTATTTTTAATCGGAGGAATCATTATGTTAACTGCTATTGATAGCGTACGCTAGCCTACCATTATATATATATATATATATATATATATATATATATATATATATATATATATATATATACATACACTGGGTGGCAATAAAGTTGCTATACAGTAACTTGCAATAACAATTAAGATAAAGCAATTAATTAACAGTCCAGAAATTTATTATTAAAATAATTCTGATTAATTCTGGTTAATAACAAAAAATAATATGGTAAACAAAAGTAAATTAATTACAGATACTGGTCGAACTGCAAGCCACATACTTCAATGCTTTGCTTTTTATTATAAGTAGATAGTGACTTTATTGCCACCGATATATTATATATATATATATATATATATATATATCTCCTGGTAAAATGAGAACAAACTGAGTATAATTCCACTGTACGTAACGTTTTTTTTAAAAGAGGGAGCAATACAAAGTAGAACTCAATATTTATTTTAGGATATTAAAACAAAAACGTTTTAAAAATCGCTACACAATTACGATTATGTTTCAACACTACAAATGTGTCTCCTCGGGCGATGTTAAGCGAAAGATTAATTTAATTTCAAAAGCAGAATAGTTTTTTTAAAAATAGGCTTGTGCGCTTAGCCGAGATTAACCAATCGAATGGTGACCTACGCTAAATTGAAACTCAACGGATTTTTTTTTTAATATAGGTCATGACACGTATAAACCTTAGACAATTTCGTTATGGACAGATATAAGTTGTTACATTATTTTGTAAAATGTATCGAAGTCTGACGTTCAACTTTCCTGAAAAAAAAAAAATACCAAAGAGGTAAGGATGTAACACAATGCTAACCAGTTATATGCTCGTTCAGTTTCTTACATAAAATTTTGTAGTTGATAAATAAAAGGCCCCTTTAAGAAACTGGTAAACAACTTAGCCGTTTGAAAAAAAACTGATAAAAAGTACAGAACTAATTTGGCAAAGAAATGTGCAAATATTAAATAAAGAGTATCTGTATAAGATGTTAATATCAACTAATCAAGGCAAGAGGATAATCAAAACTAAGGCACCTGTACATACATAAAAGATGTTAATAATACTAACTAAACCTCAATACAAGACAATATTAAATCAAAATGAATCTTACAGATAGAATAGTAAGCCATATAAGGTGCACCACAGTTCATTATGATTAAAAGTATTATCAAATTCAAAGTTTAAACATATTGTAAGGTAAAATCTACAATTTACATTCAATTCACTTTTTTGGTTAATAAGTGGTTTTTATCAGTAAATCTGGTAATTACTAATTTTTCCTGTAAGCATATATAGAACACTTTAAAGCTCACCGACCTATTTTAGCTTGAGGGACTCTTGGCTTCTTGCTTCCCAGTTAAGTTCGATCTTCAAACATTTCAATGTTTATCATTGTCTTGTCTTCGTAATAACTGTTCTTTTATTGTTCTGTCTCCTTAATGCTATTTTTTTCTTCTTCTCTCACACGCAGGAAACACCACTTGCGTCTTAGTGGCTTTATCGCCTTGTTTGGGTTAAAACCATAAAAAATTTCGATATATTAACGAGATTTATATATTAATTTGCAAATTTGACAGAACGAGTACAAAGACTTGTTTGCTAAAAAAGACAAGATTTCACCTAGGACCGTTTGAGTACAGTCAAATATTATTCCAGAACGAATTTAAAATCCAATAATAATGATGATGATGATATTAATAATAATTTCAAGGTAGGACGAAACTAGTTATCGATATTGTTCCTTAGTCGGATCCGCAAGCCTTAGTAAAATATCTGTAATTACAGATATACATACATACAAGTATCTTTATGTATGCATACTCTATACGTACTCTATGTATTAACTGGCACACGCACTCATACACACACAGATTCACTAGAAAAATGTTCAATGTTAGTAACTCATTCTTGAATTGTCCCCACTAAAAATCAAAGTGCGCCCCACTTTGGGAACCACGGCGATATCTAAATTTTTATATATCAAGAACAATCTTATTAGAAAAAAATTTTACGTGAAAGGTTTCGTCCTTTTAGACTTTATGGGGCTAAAGTGATGTTTACTTTAATGCAACTACACATTTAAGTGTTCACGATGGAGTAATGGATAGTGCCTCGGATTGAGGAATCAGAGAACCGAGTTCGAATTCCAGTCGGATCCATTACATTCACTTATCAGCTAATAACCTTGGAAATTGCATGAATCCTCTTCTCCCCGCTAGCTATGGGTAAAAGAGCATGACAGACTGAATTCTGTCAAATATGATCTTCAAACATTTAAATGCAATGCCAATTAATGTCTTCGTCATTACTGCTCTTTTATTGTTCTCACGCCTTGGGTGGCAACCGGTCTAGGAGAAATAACTCTGAATTCAAGTCTTCATGTGGCCCTGCTGTAGCTAAAGAAAGGATCGTCCGTATTGGTTTGGTGATACCGAATAATGATGAAAAAATCTGTATCTGTATCGAGTTTTGTTTTTCGTTTTTTTTCTTCTAGAAATTAATGTTAAATAAAATATATCACACGAAATATATTGCGAAGTCGCTGATTTAGAAAATTGAAATGTATGTATTTTCTGAAGGATTTGCTTTGACTATTTAAAACTAGCAATTCAACTACGTTATCTTAAATATCGAGGTGACGTCACGAAAGTAAAATATAACGAAACTTTATCGGGTCAAGAATATATTTCATTCGTAAGCATCGAACCGAAGAAAAAACATGAACAAATATCTCAGTGCCTTGATGGTTCTCTTTTATAATGTTCCCGTTGCAATCGGTGCTTCCGGTTGGATACGGTGATATCCTTTTAGATGTCCCGTTTTTATAATGAGACCTTCTGATCTACTCTACAAGGAGGAATGGCTAAGATGGGCGAAAACTTTTACAAATTACATGAAAGATTACGTTACTGCAAGTCTTTGTTCGACTGGCCGAACACTCCGAAATCAACAACTTGCTTTTGATTTCATCATGTGTGTATATAATAAAAAGAAAAGGTAACAAAATATTATTAACAGAACAATGAATGCTTTTTTACGGTTTATCAACCCTCTGTGGATTATTTAAACTCGAAACCTTTCTTTAATATAAAAATAAATACTTTGTAAGCGAGTGAATATTTTTGGCACATAAGGTTTTTGTTTTTATACAGATACAAGTCTTACGATATAATCCATCACTAAAAAGGAGGGGATGGATTCATATTTCCTATAGGTATTTGCGCGAAAGTGAATGAAATGAACTGGACTGGAATTCGAACTCCACTCTCCGATTTATCATTCGGAGTCACGAGCCATTAAAACACACGCACTGTCAGCTGTATACAACCGCTTCTTAAGATCAACGATGAAAGAAAAAGGCTTTGATCGAGTGAAGCCTGGGGGTTTTCGTAAAGATCATATTTCCTTTACTATTGAGGGACGATTCTACAAAATCAAAGAACCTTACCAAATAACAGAAACCACGTCACTTGAGGACAATTAACAATAGCAAGATCTAAAAGGGATAAATCAAGCAACTCCAAGAGAAAATAATGACAATCAAGATGTTAATACTTCACATTCTAACAAATTATCAATTTAAAGCCAGAACATAAAAAAAAAAAATGAGATAATGATTTAGTGATAAAAATGTTACTAATTAACCTATAGCCGGAGGAGAAGTGGTGGATTCATACTTTTCCTAAGGGTATTTGCGGTTAAGTAAATATAACGAACCCAACTGGAATTTCCATTTCCAATTCCGAGCCGTTATCCATCATACTACTCGCACATCAAAGCTTACAACACTTGGTATTCCCAAGCGGTCACCCATCTAGGTACTGACAAGTCTCGACGTTGCTTAACTTCGCTGATAGTACGGTAACCGGTGTTTTAACGTGATATGGCCGTAAGTCAAAAGAGGTTATGAAGGAAACATCCATCAATAGTGGAAAGAGCTATGATAGCTATTACTGAGAAATCCGTTTTACTATCAAATTGTTTTAAAAGATAGATTTTATACATTGCACTCGCTGATCGGTCAATGAATTCTAAATGTTTCCTTGTAAGGAAACGGCTTTATATCATTTAACAACAACAATAAATACGCACTCTTGCTAATGTTAGAGCTTTAAAGGGTGATTCCTTTTACCAAATCCTCATTTGACGATGATAGATTCTTGGGAGTACACTTTTTTTGAGTAGTTATAAAACGAAACAAAGTTTACGATTGGATCAATGTGATAAACGAGATGGACGTTCCTAAAGTGTTTCTAGAGTTCAAAAAACAGTTCATCTTTCTGTTTGCTATGCCCACAGACAGCAATAATGTGCACTTCTGACGTCAATGTGATAAGACAGATGCGCCAGGTGAAAATTCTAAGAAGCACTTTCTTTTACAACTCACTTCAAAGAGAACAGCATAAGAGACACCTCAAGTTGTGAGCTACGTATTAGGAGTTGTCTAAATTAAGCAGGTAAAAAAAAAAAAATTAACTACCTGGATAGTTGAACAGACTACGTAAGCCGCAGAGTAATAACAAGAGATGCCTTCCAAAAAACAAGTAAACTACTAAAACAGAAAAAAAAAATCGTTAGAAACAAAAGAAAAAAGTGTTTTACTTTTGTGATATTTAATTTATATGACAGTAAATATTGAACAATTTTCTCACAGACGAAGAGTAGTACACCCGAAGCGAAAGAGATGTGGTTTTACCAGCGAATGCTGAGAATATAATGGACAGAATGTGTGAGCAACGAAGAAGTCAAGGAAAACAGGAATAATAAAGAAACGTATACTTACAATCAGAAAGAGAAATGAGATTTCTTGGACGCATCATGAGGAAAGAGAGTCTGGAGAATTTAACACTCACAGGACAGAATGACGGCAAGAGAAACAGGTGAAAACAACGAGGAATCTATTAATGAGACCGAGTTAATGGATGACAGGACGGGGGAAAACAGGATCGTAAAGAGTAAAGAAAGACAGGAAGTTGCGGAGAGCCATGTTCATCGGCGACCTGAAAAGTACAGCGGAAGAGCAGTAGCATTCGCTGTACGTATTAGAGCATTTTTTTTTGTTTTTATTGCAGTTTCTTTTTTTTACAAATAAACATTCTAACGAAACAACATTCAACTTGACGTAATATACTCAGCATCATGTTTGCAAGTATTTCTTATTTCAGGTAATAATTAAAACTGTACATTCAATCAGACAAAACCTCTTTACTGCTCTTGGGTTTAGATATTTTCTTTCTTATTAATATAAACGTTAGTTTTTGAGGGTATGCGTCATTGAGTTGATATACCTGTTTTTTTTTTTTAATTTTCTTAATCAACTGCTCTTGATGTAAAAAAAAATCTAATTGCCATAATATGACGAAGAGAAAAGAGAGAGAAAAGAAAAGAGAGAGAAAAGAAAAGAGAGAGAGAGAAAAGAAAAGAGAGAGAGAGAAAAGAAAAGAGAGAGAGAGAGAAAAGAAAAGGAAGGAAAACATGAAAGGAAAAAGTAAAAAAGGAAAAAGGAAAAAAGGAAAAAGGAAAAAGGAAAAGAAAAAAGAAAGGAAAACAAAAGGAAAAAGAAAAAAGAAAAAAGGAAAAAGAAAAAAGGAAAAGAAAAGAGGAAAAAGAAAAAAGGAAAAAAAAAGAGGAAAAAGAAAAAAGGAAAAAAAGAGGAAAAAGAAAAAAGGAAAAGAAAAGAGGAAAAAGAAAAAGGAAAAAGGAAAAAGAAAGAAAAAAGAAAGAAAAAGCCAGAAAAAAACAAAGAAAAAAGGAAAGAAAAAAGCAAGAAAAACAAGAGAGAAAGCAATAAATAAATAAAGAAAAACAGTTGTGATGTTAACCCAAATACACGTACGCACCATTAATAACGTAATAATAATAAAAATAATATATATAACCTGAAGATACCCTGAGGCTTGGAGCTGAGTCACCATGCAGTGTTGATTTCTGTATTCCCATTATCTATAAAATCTCTATGTTTTTCTCGGTAAATATGAAAAAAATTGAACTTTTGCATATTATATATATATATATATATATATATATATATGAGTGTGTGTGAGAATGAAAGAAAAGATATATGACAAAAAGGAAAAGGTTTTTGCGATGTGTTTCATTCGTTAGGACGTCATCGGATGAAACGCGTCACAAAAAATAGATCTTGGTTGATTTTTTTTATTATTATTTGCAGGAATGAGAATTCACATCCACTTGTTAGCCAATCAGTTGATGCTTTAAACTTAAGTTAGAACCGAACTGAATAATGCGTTGCCGCTCACCATGGTTAAGCCTATCTTAAATGTTGGGTGGAGTTCAGAAAACAATTCACAAACACAGAGAAAAGGGCAGGACAATAAATTACATCTTCTGATCGGGAGCTTTTTAAGGAGGATGAAACCACATCTTAATTGCTTTTGTTCCCAGGGCCATCTTAACCCGGGGTGGTAGCATCTGTTAGGGTCCCAGCTATGGGAAAATAGATTAAACGCCAAACTGGGGTCAAAACACGATGAAAATATAACAATACGTTTTTATAGCAGAAGTGTTAGAAATGCATAACACAGGAATAACCAGCAATACATTTTTTTGTGAAAGAAAACAAATAAACAAACACGGCGAAAACTGTGGACTGTGTTGGAAAGATTCCATTAAGGTTTCGCTATTCGAACAGATTTTGTTTTTTTACTATCTTCTCTCAAGTATTTACGGGAAAGAAATCAAGTCGTGAGTACCCGCAGTTGGATAGAAACAGAACATACGCGATTATGGCTCTCCACGTATTCCTTTTCTTCTACATCGCCATAGCTTTGGAAATATAAAAAAGTGCTTTCCAGTTGTCTTCTCCATAGATTGAAATTCAAAATTGTCCACCTAGACTGATTACCACACAAACCTAAAGAACACAGTCTGTCCTGTTATTTAATCCATAGCTCAAAGTGGGGAGTAGAAATAAATTTTCCAAATGACATCAGTGCGAAAGGCAATGCAGTCGACTCGGGCGTAATGTCAAATAGGATGACCAATTATACTTTGCACCCAGTCAAGCGTCACACTATGAGTTCCGATTCCGCATCTGCATTAGTCTGCATCTAGAGATGTGTCTCCAGCTGTGCTGGTCAAACTCTCTGTTTCCGGGCAAAGAGGATCCCCGTACGACATTATGTCGAAGGGCAGAGTCTCGTCTCGGGAAACAGCTACCCGACCCCGTTTTATACGGGGTCTACGGGGAATTTTTGGCGGAGCCTACGGGCTCGGATACCCCACATTAAATTCGGCCTTGTATCACATCTGACTGCGTGGGGCGATTGGTAGATATCCTATGGGTTCCGATTCCAAATAAAGTTCTTTTATCATGTATAAATTTCTACCCAACTCTCAAGCGATTTGTCGAGTAGATTATTGTGAACGTATTTGTTTAGAAACCACAGTAAAGATACACAAAGTATAGCTTTTCATGATGCCGAAATCAGAACAGAAATTTCCTATATAAAACAATGGTGACCTTAATGTCCATATGCGCATCTGGATTCTGGACAACATACTGAAAACATCTGAGGGAAATTTGAAAAAAAAAAGGATCTGTTAACGTTGCCTTCGAAATGTCTTAAATATCACGTAGTGAAACAGAAGCAAAAGTGACACAAGTCTTCGTTATGCAACTAAGATGCAGTGACCAAGTTTCCCCGAAGAAAGACGAACATCTGCCGAAGAAAATCTTCGCAAGAAAGCAAATGTTTTTAGAAAGAATAAAAAAAAAAAAAAACGGAAGAAGATTTAAAGGCACAAAGAAGAAATAGACAAGTGGGTAAAAAAACAATACCAACAACAGAAAATTCTACTAAACCATTATCAGGGAAGGAATACCAAGACAACAGACGCACAGAATTAGAACAGCAAAGACAGCCATAACCACCTGGAACTGCCTCGAGTCTTGAAGAATTTTCAAAGCCAAAATTGTAGTCATTAACGCTTCGAAGGTCATAAGATAAACCAATTGAATGAAGCTCAACAACACTGATATGGAGAAACGGCTAACAGCTTCCTGGTTTTTGAAGTTACTGATTTTAGTCTTGAGTATGACAATAAAATAAATCCGGCACCAAGGCCTCTGATCGGGAGATTGAAGCTTTTAAGGAATGTGGAACCAACTATTAATTGCTGTTGTTCCCAGGTCCACTCTAACCCGGGGTGGTAGCACCTATTAGGGTCCGAGCTATGAGTAAATAGTAAAAACAAAAACAAGACACTATGAAAGTATAAAAATACATTTTTATAGTAAAAATACCAGCAATACATTTTCATAAAAAGTTACCAGCAATACCTATTCATAGTAAAATTACCAACAATACATCAATCAACATGAAATAACTTTCATGACATAAATCCATATAATATTTCTTAAACAAAACTATTCCAGAATATAGATTCAACAAAAATGCATAAAATACACGCATCACCGCTTCCTAGTAATTATGTCCACCCAAACATGTATACTCACAAAAGCTGAGTATCATCTACCATGTGTTCAACTGTGAAAGCAGAAAAACCTGTATCCTAATTTATTACTTAACAGCTCTCAAGAAAATAACATTTTGGCATCAAATGACTCATACGAAGTTGATATGCCGTTAAACAAACAAATCAAATCATGTTAGCGATTGTAAAACGTAAAGTTTTAAGATTGTTGTGATGTTGTTCAAAATAGCCGAGAAATAAAAAGGTCGTAGTTAGAAGGAGAATATCGAAGGAACAGAAGACTAGCTAGAGGAAACAATGAAAAAGAGGTTTACTCATACACAGAACGAAAAGACATGAGTAAACCAAGTACTACTCAAATCCTACTCTAATTTGGGTACTTGCTGTATTAATAAGTAAAAGCAGTCCATTGTCACAGTATTATTGAAGAGCAAGTAGTACACCGAATCCTGCTCTACAAAAAACATTTAAAAAGTATAATATTCGAGTAAGCTTATTATTATGTTGCGCCTGCCAGGAAAGTGACAGTTTTGTAGTAATATATGAAGTCCAGTATACCCATCTAATAAAGTCATACTAAGCATATACATCTCAGCAAAATATGTGCGATATGGTGACATGTTTTGATACAAATAGCGTAAAAACATTGCAGATGTGGCCCAGTTAGATATGCGTTCCAGTCCCTGATTATCAAAGGTGACTCAAGTTGACTTGGTTGCATTATCTTTCAAACTTAAAAAAATCTCGACACAGCGTTTTTCATTTTTTCCCACTAAACCCTCTCATAGAGAGACATGCGCAGTGCGTCCACCCCTGGGTAACATAACCAACTAGTTAAGGTCAGTCAACTGATAAGCAAATTTATGGTAAGAAAACGGAATAATTGCTGTAGTTTATCTTAATTCACCTGCATAAAACATGTACATTTTAACACATCCAGTGACATAATATAAGTCATGATAGCCACGCCTGCTAAAATTTTCTGTTATCATTATATTATTTGCTTTCTGAACTAATGAGACTTCTTGAATATTCTGACACTTTGCATTAGAAAGCAAAAGAATAAAATAATTTTATCTAGGGTAAAACGAGGTAGGAAATATACGTATTGTAAAACGAGGTGGGAAATATACGTGTGGTAAAACGAGGTGGGAAATATACGTGTGGAAAAACGAGGTACGAAATATACGTGTGGCAAAACGGAGTAGGAAATATACGTGTGGCAAAACGAGGTAGGAAATATGCGTGTGGCAAAAAGGAGGCAAGAAATCTATATAGGGTAAAACGAGGTAGGAATATATATATATGTATGTATGTCTGTGTGTGAAGATGGAGAATAACGCAAGATAATAAATATGTGTATTCTGTTTACAAAATTTTGATGTCAAGTGACGCTTAACAACTATGGTATTTACAATTTCTTTACATTGATAATATTCTCCACACAGGCCATTTTTTAATCTACTGTAAATAATCTGTCAAGAAATTAGTTATTGTTCTTGTCTTTACCGTTTCAGAACTTAACCAGGGTTCAAATTATTATTATTATTATTTAAAAGGTCACAAACATTAATAATTTTCGGTGAACATGTCGTCGTAACATCGTATTTTCACAAAAAATAGTGTCTTCATAGAGACATATACAGTCAATAAAAGAAGCTGGAAAAACAAAGTTGAAGTAAATAAATGTTACGTACCTGTTTCATCAACAAAAGGCACCATATGAAAGAAAAAGAAAATTAAAGAAAGTATTAGACAAGTTCAGACAGAGTTCTTATGGCTTTGCATTAAATATTTAAAGAAATTATTTGAAATAAGTACACAGACGAGACAAAAGCAAATACACATTTAATAATTTAGCCTCAATGACATCTGCTCAATTTCTTATGAAAACTCAAGAGAAATAACAACACAAGCCCGAGACAATGTCTGCTACGCAGGGAATTTGGTAAATGCTTGATTTGTTCATTAATCTGAGAATAGATTGGACAAGCGTTGTGTCGCGAATAAATTGGAATTGGCGCATTCAGATGCGAAACACGTGAATTTGGCATTAACTGATGAGGGAAAGGAAACCATTTGTGCGCTAACGAACATTGAATACCAGTGAGGTCAATTACGAAATCTGATTTCAAGATGCCTTCTAAAAGCTAAGCAAAATATTAAGAAACAGAAAAATTTCCTTAGAAACAAAGAAAAGAAGACTGAACTGTTACGTAATATCAGTCCTCCTATATGTCACTGTATGTTGGACAATCTCGTCACAGATGTAGAAGAGACTTGATGCAACAGAAATTTGCTTCTACAGAATAATACTGAAAATTTCATGGACCGTAAATGTGAACAATGATGAAGTTTTAGAGAAAATGGAAAAAAAAGCAAACTC